TATTTCGTAGGCAGCCTCATGCGAATTCTCTCTCTTCAACGAGATTCCCGGTAGCCATGCAAGAAACCCACACAAAACTACACCGTCCTGAACAGCATCAGCAATCAGCAACCTCCACGCGCAACATAAATGTTCAACGTTGAAACAGACTCCGTACTCACAGACACACTCCGCACTGCAGTTCAAGGAAAGAGAGTGCATAAGACATGAGTTAAAACTTCATAATTCATTTTAACCAAACTGAACAAAAATTTACGCCTAGCTTTAATCAAATTTGATTAACATTTCGAAAAAAAATAATTACAGAAGAAACACTAAGGCAAGTACATATATAATCTACCTGATGATGATGATGACGACTCTTTTTTTGATCGAAACATATTGCAGAAAAAGCAGCTACAATACAAGGCAACGTACCACACTGCTAGTCTAACCAACACGGCAAGAAATTTCACCACCCAAACTGCTCATTTGAACCAAATAATCGCCGGTAAGACCGTTCTGCTTTCCCTCATAACTTGAAAGCAGAATCTAGTAACGTCCTCACGATCTGCTTTACATTCTGAAGGTGACGCGACCTCCAGACACAATATATCCGCTGCTGTGGGGCCCGTTATTTCAAAGGGCTGTGTCTGCAGATTACACAATAACAAGGAAATACAGCATCTTGAGAGGAGTTGTGCCCTGTTGTGAATGTCTAAGGCGTCAATATAAATATAGCGTTGAACACACCTCCTTTAAGAGGTTACAGACCGCCAAGTACCCTTCGCGGGCTACATAAACGACCCTTGTCGTTGAAGCAGGGGTATGATGAAAGAGTGGGCACTGCGGAATAGACAGGGTGTTGTGAAGCAGGTGTCGACTTGCCTCTCATTTGTTGAGATGCCCTGCCAAGGTATCCAGAATCTACTATAGTCACCTTGATATTGTCATTAGAAATTATATACGATTAACGACTGTAATGTTCTTACAATTAAATGACATAAACTATGCGTTTATGTGCTCTGAACATGTATATCTAATGGATGAAATATGAAATGCAAAAAGAATTTTGTTGTTGAAACATATAGTAAATTGTTATTGCATGGCAATCTTGGGCGTAACTTTGTAATTTTTGGAGCGTTAACAACAAGAAGTTAAAAGAAAAGTGTGGCCCCCTGCGTGCTTTAAGGGGACATATGACAGATTTCCAAGATTAATTTTAATTTAACTAGCTCTGTGAGACAGGCGTAGAGCTTTCTCTCCTTATGTTAGCAGGGAAACTGCGCAGTATGTCACTGTGACAAATATGGCGCAGAGCGCAGACGCTTCGTAAACACCGGCCATGCTGTCGGTATTAGGTGCTTGTGTGGAGGAGGCATGCGCACACAACGGACGCAGTAACGTACTCTCTTGAGTTGCTGGTTTCTGGGTTAGCGCCATGTAGACTGGTAGGTAGGTACCATCTCTTCGGAGTAATACACTGACTCCATCTTCAAGACACAACCTGTATCCTTATGCTAAGTTCAGATGAATGGATTCTGTTATGAGATCTGCAGTTCTCACAGAAGTGAATATTAAAATTACGATCTTGTGAGATATAATACAATGTAATTTAGTTGGTACGTACGAATTTTCGGAGTAACCTACTGATTCTATCTTCAGGATAAAAATTGTTGCTCAAAGATAAGAGCTGCTGATTGTATGAGACCTGAGGTTCTCACGATACCGTCTTCTGGGACGCTTCGTCGTGTCGTGTACCGACGTTTCATAGGAACCTGCATTCATAAAAAAAATATACAAATTCCCCCCGGACACGTTGATATATCTTTAAAACTGCACGGCGTCACATCCCACGAGATCGTAATCCACTTTTCTTCTCAACTCATTTAAAGACGCTTTCTAAAGACGTAGCTTGTACGGCGTCGAATTGAACAGTGGCTGCGAGAGGGAAACTTGTAATGTTATAATCTAAATTTCTGTGCCAAGGATTTACTTAACGCAACGGGAAAAATAAAAAATAGACTTAAATTCGGCTTCTTTCCGGAGTGAGATTACCCCACGAGACGCCCAAAATAGTGAATGGAAGTGACGATCACTATATCTAAACAAAGAAGCCCCATCGGGGTGGAGCTAGGGATTTTTGCGGTGTGAATATTCAAGGGGAGGGCATACTCTTTCCCATGCACCCAGTGAACACTGAGAATAAATTGTTTTCTCTGTTAGTCATTAATGTAGGAGCAAAGGGTCTGTTCTGTTTGGCAATGTTTGAACAACTGGCACACTGTACGTCATTCTGCGCAAGCTAGCAGTTACAAGTGCGTATATAACTCGGCGAACTCGGGGTAACAGTTTCATTGTGTTTATTCCTCTGGATATGGGAGAGACGGTTGTTGGCATGGCAACCAAAACGGCCTTCGCTGTTTTGTTATTGTGCTTTGTGCAGGTGAGTCAAAAAATCTGGTTTCACAAGACCAGAAACGGAAGCCAGAGAACATCTCATAGTACAGCCTGCGCATGTCCCCCAGTTGTGTCCGCTGTACCTCTATACAGTTATATTATTTCGGCAGCTCTCCGAAACAATATACAAGTAGATTTATTTATATTAGTCCATGGTTTATATAAAGACGCTGTGAGTATCTCTGACAAGGCAGATTCAAATGATGCAGTGATTAGTGAATAATGAACTGGAAGACTGGTTGTGGCCTGATTTGAGCTACTAACCCAGCATTTGAGTGGAGAAACAGCGGAAAACCACGAGAGTACTAATTCATGGTATATGGTGTTTTGGTCGAGATTCGAAGCGGATACCTCCTATGTACAAATAAAAAGTGTCGCTGCTCCGGCCAACTTGTTCTCGTCAGAACGTGTGTGACAATGGTGTGTTATTAAACTTTAGTTTTGGTTAAAGCAGCACAAAGTTTCGGATGATGATTATGTTTATCATCACATGAAAATATGTACCATAGTCAGGTGAACTTCTTGTGTGAAGGTGAGCTATTTCTAGAGATAATGAAACCGCAATTAGTATGCAAACCCAGACGAAGGATAGCAACATATATTGTATATGATGAGTTTACTAGGAGGGCACGCGGTGTCGTAGTTAGTTGAGGCACTATGCTACAAGCTTGAAGGTCTCGGGTTCGATTCCCGATGAGGTCATTCCAGGCTCTTATCTAGTGCCTAGCGGGGGCTCTTTCCTAGGGGGTAAAGCGGCCGGGGTTTAAATCTGACAATTCACCTCCATCTACTGCCGAGGTCAAAAAAGTTGGAGCTAATACTTCCCTCCCCCTACGTCTTCACGGTGTAGTGCTTAATTAATTAAGCACAGGGACAAGTTTGCCATTTAATATTCCCTTAAATTATTCTCGGTATTGATATTTTGAGAAATCTATAATTACACTGACTATAAGCTCTACACATCCTCTCTCTCTCTCTCTGTGCCTCTACAGCCTTTTGGACTTTTGCGGCTTTTTCAGTTTCTTAATCCGTTACACAGTCGGTAGGACTCCTCTGTCAGGGGATCAGCCTGTTGCAATATAAAAACAGAATAAATACACACAGATATCCATGCCTCGAGTGGGATTCGAACCCACGATTCTAGCGTTCGAGCAAGGGAAGACTGTTCATGCCTTAGAAAGCGCGGTCACTGTGATCGGAGACCTATACGTCCACTCCCCCATACGCCTTCATGGCGTGGTGCTTAGTTGGTTGAACACAGGGCAAGATTACCTTTCAGGAGGTTCTCGCAGCGGTAACCACGAAGAGTATACGAGTATCCTCTTGGACGTGATACCTTTAAGGCGGCCCATTCACGTACGAGTCTGGCTCGCGAGTCCAGCTCGGCGAGGAGCCGGGCTCGGATTAATTTCATCACACTCGTATGAGCACGGCGACCCACACAGGGATGCGTTTGGCTCATTGGAACCCGAGCCCAGTCGGACTCGCCAGCCAGACTCGTACGTGTATGGGCACCATTAGTCTGGTAGAAATTGTGGTCTGATTGCAGTCTCGGGGGCGGAGACCGACATAACTCGGGAGCATATGTTGCGATGCTTCAGGAATGAGCTTCAGTACACAGACAGGCTGGGAGGAAGGCGGTCATGTGATCCGAACTTACATATTCCCGTTGAAGCTTCCAGACGTTTCGGAGGCACTTACTGTCATATCTACACCGTCAAAGATTGAGCCAATCAAGTAACGAACAAATTTATTTTTACTCTGCTTGCTGCACTTACTCTTCCACTCTGACGATGAAGTAGTGCGTTACTTCGAAGCTTCATACTGATCAAAGTGTAATGGAAGCTGCATCTTGTTTGCCTCAAACGCTTGAGTTTGGATGCCACAATAAGTAGTTCTGGGAAGAAATAATCGCCTACTTTCCTTCGATACGAAACGGACCGCATAGAAAACGACGCGTCAAATGATTATTGTACTAGAAGATTCTAAAGGGTTCTGACGATGGTGGATGACAGACAGAATTACTGGGGTTTTGGACTTTTTCCATCGTGGAATTATAGATAACAGAGGACACTCTAGGTAATATTGGACCTCTATTACATACCTAGAGTGTAGCGGCCTCCGTAGTCTAGAGGTAACGTTCCCACCTCATGACTCGTGGTACGCGGGTTCGAAACCGGCGGAGGTCGTGGAATTTTTAAGAGCGGAAAATTTCAGGGAACAAGTCCTCCGGGAGGGACTTTAAGCCGTGGGTCCCGTGTCGTAGCTTCACGGCACGTAAAAGAACCTCATATTTCCAAAGGACGTCACTGAGCCAAATTCAAGGTCATTTCCCGCCCAACAGTATTCTCTAACGCCTCTGATAGATGGGGGAAGCATTATAGATACCGCCAAGCCAGTAGAGGCCGAACTCGCTGGCTCGGTCGGGACTGATGGTACGCACCAATATCGGTAGGATATAGAGACTGGTAGAATATCATAGAGGGAAGCACAATGGACCAATACTGGTCTAAGTGCATGGAGAAACCCACCCTTTCCAATAACTAACTAACTAACTAGAGTGTCCTCTGTTATGTAGAATTCCGGATGATGGAAAAAGTCCAAAATCCCAATAATTCTGTGGATTATTGTACTGTTGCTTGTGTACAAGTTGTCGCGGTAAACTTTTTATCGAGTCGTTTCCTAGCAACGATAGGATGGATACACACATAGACACACAGACTAACGGGAGCGATTTATGTAGTACACTTTTGTGGTGGGCTCAGGTACCATGATATATGTACCAGGTTTCTTAAAGACTGGTTCATCCATTCAAAAGATGACACAGGTCTCATAATCCTATTTTTATTTTTTTTCAAAATAAGAAAAGTAGACTAAAAAATAAAATAAAATACAGGCGACAATTCGATGTCTCATATTGGTGTGTAACGTCTAGTGTGTAAAATGTGCATTGGTCTTTTCAGGGTTTAAGTGCAGACACGCTGCTTAAGCGAGACTCGACCCCCACAGACAGCGGAAGTACGCAAAATGAACCAGAAGAAACAAATCAGCAAGATCTTCCAGAAGAGTCTAACTTGAAGATTTTGCAAGCAGAAAATTCGGAAATTCTTGCCAAGTTACAGGAAAATAAACAAGAATTTTATAATAAAATAAATGAGCTTGCTGCCAACTTGACAGAACTGGAAGAACAGGATTCGGAACGTCTTGAGACGTTGCAGGAGAATAAGCAGGACTGGTCTGACAAAATAAAGGAGATCGCCGTTAATTTGACAACCCTCAAGCAGCGAAATTCAGAACTTCTCAACAAGTTACATGAAGACAAACAGAGGTTTGAGGATAAAATAAAGGAAATCATCAGTCAGCAAGGTAATGTAGACAAAATTAACATTACAATCCCGCTAGAAGGAGATTCTGAATCCCTTGTCAAGTTGAAACAATTCAAGCAAAGGCTTGACAATAAAATAGACGAATTGAAAAGCGAAGCTCAACAAAAAATCCAGGAACTTAAAGACAAAATTCTAAACCAGGAACAAGAAGGAGTCAGGAAGCGTGATGCGTCCAATCCCCTAGCCGGAGGCAGCGTTATCAGCATCCTTCTGAATATACCGACTTCCCTCACGTCTAAGTTTCAACAAAAGTTCAGTGAATTCGAAGAGGACGCAAACGAAGTCTTCCAATACTTCGTCGCCTCCCTTGGAGGCAGCCTAGACACTTTGGAAAACCTACAAAACATTGTGAATGGCTCGGTCCTTGCGAATGTTACCAACATCAGAGAGGCTGTATCAGCCGCTTCCAGTTGCTTCGAGGCTCAAAAAGACACCGTGGAAAGTCTTGTCAAACAGACAGGTGAGTGACTGCATCTGAAGATCCAAGTTGCTTCTCAGACTACAGGAAAACTCTGGAAAACTTAGTCAACGCAGAAGATGAGTAACCGGGCAGCAACATCTAGTTACTTCCGAAAGTGAGGGAATACTCTGGGAAGCTTCTTCAAAGTAACAGGTAAGTAACAACGTGTGCAGCGTCAAGATGCCTCCAAGACAAGGTGAAAACTCTGAGAAGCTTCTTCAATGTAACATGTAAGTAACAACTTGTGTAGTGTCAAGATGCCTCCAAGACAAGATGAAAACTCTAGGAAGCTTCTTCAAAGTAACAGGTAAGTAACAACTTGTGCAGTGTCAAGATGCCTCCAAGACAAGATGAAAACTCCGAGAAGCTTCTTCAAAGTAACAGATAAGTAACAATATGTGCAGTGCCAAGATGTCTCCAAGGCAACGTGAAAACTCTAGGAAGCTTATTCAAAGTAACAGATAAGTAACAATATGTGCAGTGCCAAGATGTCTCCAAGGCAACGTGAAAACTCTAGGAAGCTTCTTCAAAGTAACAGGTAAGTAACCTCTGCAGCCTCAAGAAGCCTCCAAGATTACGTGAAATCTCTGGGAAGGTTCGTCAGTGTTACAGATGAGTAAGTGGATATCAGCCTCAAGTTTTTCAAGGATTCTGGACCACCGTGAGAATCTTTTCTGATTTACAAGTAGCGCACAATACGAAACGGATGCGATATCGCTCCTAGGACAATTCACTGTTCTTTCATTCATTCTTAATTTACACAAAAATGAAGTGATGCGAAGAACTGATCGCCTACTTTCCTTCGACACTACGCGGACCGCATAGAAAGGGACACCTTCAATAGTTCTTCTATTGTTGCGTGTGTATTTGTTGTCGTGGTAACGGTTTTACCGAGCCGTTGCCTATCAACGACAAGGGAGATACACATACAGACCCACAGAATAATAGGAGGGATTTATGAAGTACGCCGTTGAGATGGCTCAGATGTTATAATATACATGTTTATTAAATTTCACAAAGATTTCTTCAGGCATTCAAAAACTGACACGGAGGGGGGTTCACAGACGAATCGCATAAGTCTACTTTAGGAAAGTATTGTCTGTCTGTGTACCCCCCAATCGTTGCTAAGTGTCAACTAGGTAGAGACGTTCACGCGGCAACAAACATTTATTTGAGGCGTCACTCTCTATGCGGTCCGTGTCGTATCAAAGAAAATTAAGGCGAGTATTTCCTCCCAGAACTTCCTGTATTTTTTCGAAACAGAAGTAGGCTAAAAATAAGTTAGTTTTGACTAAACATGAGCCTAAAATTCACTCCTTTTCTCTTCACAGTGAGCCAGATCAAAAATTCATTTGGTGCTGATCGTGAGAAAATTGAGGCTACAGTCAACCACGTTAAAGCAATTGGCGAGAAGGTACAGGATCTTGTAGTCCAGACGGCCCGAAACTCCACTCAGTGCCTGATATCACTTGACTGCATCACGCGCCTGGGTGCCCACATCGTGCCCATAATATACGAAATCAGCGAGGAGATCGCCAGCGAGGCTGCAAATCTGCAGTCTTTCAAGGAGGACGTGTTACCCGTCGTAAGCAACACTGCCTCGTCCATTGTGCAGTCTGCCCTATCCCAAGCAGCAGACATCGCGCTGGACACCGTCAAGTGCCTCAAGGAGAAGATTTCTGCAGATGACTCAACTTCAACAGCACAATGATTCCGTTTCTGTTTGCTTCTCCATTATATTACACGCATAAAGTATGTCTTTATTTTATCTTCTGAATATCTCGAAGCACGTTCATCCTTTCACTGTCAATCCCGATTATAGTTGTTCCCCTCGATATGCCTTCCGTTCCAGTTCCAAAAATATTTTTGTTCAGCTTGTTGTGTTCTGTGAAATTTGAAAGTCTTACAGTAGTGAGTGTGGGTTTCGGCGCCATTAATTTGGTTGATAGGTGCAAACATTTTGGGTTAACGTGCTGGTTCCGTCCATGAAGAAGGAGGCAGCATGTCCCTCCGAAACGCTGGTAAGAATATCATCACAAAAGACACAATTTCGTATTTTACTTGCTCACGACGCCCAATGTTTGATTTTAGTGACAGATTTAGAAAGAATGGTAAGTTAGTTGAAAATACAGGATTTGAAATGGGTGACTAGACTCAGCTGGTACAGTATTGCATCTAATATCATCTTTTGTGAATATGGTAATAAACATTTAAATTCTTTAATAACAATGAATCTCTCCTGTGTCTAACAGATTTCCAATTAAATTTATTTAAAAGAAAATCTATTTAGAAACATCTGAAAATATTTTCACACAGAAACTGGAAGGAATGGCTTATAAGCATAAAATGATACGCTAATTTAATTCTTTTTCTAATTTAGCAAGATGTATTCGTTTTCTGTATGGATCTCCGTTACGGCTGAAACTCTTTGTGATGAGCAAGTGTGAAAATAGAGGTGAAGTGTATTTTCTGGCAATACTAAACAAAAAAATCATTCACAGTAGAAATAGGAGACACATAAAACGAGAATTCCCATTCCTAATAAAGTATGGTCGCAATTGTTTGAATATGCAGCAGTGGAAAGTTGAATCTTAACATTAACATTATTGTCACGTGTGCCGGTGACTTTACACGCGGGTTTGGCTCAGTGAGGCGATTTACTGGATCTTAACTAGGCGGAACTACAACTAATTATAACATTTTCAATCTTACTCCAACTAAAACACTTCGTACCTACGAACAATGATAACACTCTAAAGGTTACTGTAACTTCACCATGCAAACTAAAGACTTCACTTCTGCATTCTTCTTCTGGCTACTGTTTCTGACTTTTGTGAGTATGAGTCTTATATTATGACCGACGGTCAGTCGGTCAGTCTGTCTTCGAATTAAGCACCCATCTGGGGCTTACGACCAGATTTTTATTACTGTCAGATATTTGCGGGTTGTTGATGTGGGGACACTCTCTCTGACGAGAGGAGGGGTCTGTCGTTCACAACTGCTGCTGGCCCTCACCAGCGCAGTAATTGTCGGGTCCGAGGCCGTGACACTCGCAGTCATATTTTACTGTCTCAGATTCGAAATTTCATTTTTCGTCGCCTCCTACGACTGGCAGGGCTACGGTGGTTGTATTCGAACCCTCCTCCAAACGGGACTGTTTCCTGATCTGGTTATAATTATTAGGCGGCCATGATAGCAGAGTTCTGCATTTCGTACCTGCGCTGTCTGCCTAAGCACGCGTCCACACTAACCTAGATGCCTAGTCGAGTGCCGTCACGGAAGTGCTTGTATACCAACCTCATGGTAACCCGCTGTCACGGGAACATGCTCTGTTAATACCTGTTGCGTAGGAAATCAACTTAAGATCTGACTCAAATTTTCCGGCTTTCAGGAGTCATGTCACAATATTATTCGAAATAATGTTCATGAGTTTTCCTTCGCAAAATGCGTATTTAATTTATATGAACATACAGAACTTTCGTAATATAAACTGGTCAGTAAAGAAATATCTTGTGTCCATAAATGCCAAGTTTTTGACAAGTTAGAAATTCTGTCTTCATATTCTTCTAATATTTATGTATCAGAAAACTTAATGGCTGTACCTGTCTCAAAATCAATTTCCATTGTTTAACTATTATTTCTCCCACTCTTCACCCTCTATGTTTGCAAATCCCTGCTGTGCCTTCCCACAGATCACCTTCTATACGATTTATAACTTGCGAATTTAAAGGTTCTTTACAAAATAAAAATGAAAACTTTGTGTGGAGATATGTCGGTGTGTTTATCTGTGACCTGGTATAGGAACCTGTCCTTCACCCAGAAAGATTGTTTAGTTCTATAAATGAGACCACAAAAAATTATCGAACATTTCAAATTTTCAACCACAGTCCCGTTCGGACCCACGATATTGGACACAAATGGGAATATTAAAAACAACACAAACCCTTACTGAACGTGTTGCCTCGCATTCGGGAGGCCCTCGGTTCAAATCTCAGAAGGGAAACCGGTTATAATGACGAAGATGTTTCTTGTTTTTCATCACTTATCTCCAGATAAATGCTGGACTAGCACCTCAATTAAGTACTAACCACTTCCTTCCAAACCCTTTCAATTCATCATTCATCCATCACTCTGTTATATAGCAGTGTTTCTCAGCCCTTTTTCATGAAGTTCCCCGTTTACATTTTTTTAGATACCGAACACCTTAAATTTTCAAACACAATTTCTTCCTCAATTCCGACACATAAATATTTCGGATGATCACAAATGCACCTTGATATGTGACTAATCAGATCCTACATCACGATCTCAATGTACCAATCATCAAAGAAGTCATCCAAGAAGAAAGCATAAAACATCATGATAAACTAGGACACCATAGCAATACATTACTGCAGCCCCTACTGGAACAACAACAACAACGAAGAAGGCTAAAGAAATTATGGCCAGTAGATCCACATGATGGTTGGAGAGGATCTCTCATTGGAGGAGCCCTCATCACGATACAATACGCACACGAGGACGGTGTTTAAATTAGAAAATTAGCTTAATGAATGTATTTAATTCTGATTGCTAATAAATATATATATATAAAAAATTCCAACACATCAGTTTATACAATTTAATCGTAACCTGGTCGTTGGAAGAACTTACCCGTAGGAAACAAACTTGCTGTCGTACTTATGAATGTGCAAAATGGATACAAAAACAAAAATTCAGACACTTCAATTCTGTTCAAGTACCCCCCCCCCAAGACATCTCGAGCGTACCCTTAAGGGTATGCGTACCATCGGTTGAGAAACACTGTTATATAGTCTTAGATAATGACAGTGCCGTAGAGTAACCCACAGGGGATGTAAGAGCCCGATTCGGAGTTACTGTACGCCTGGAGGTTTGCCGCAAGTCAGTTCCTCTTGGCGCCGAGCCTCCTGAGGCGGAGTTTTTATTTATTCTAATTTTTATGTTTTTTGCAACTAAATCCTTAAGGTGGATGAGATGGGCAGGGAACGTAGCAGGAATGGGGGACACGAGGACTGCATATAGGATATTGGTGGGAAAGCCAGAAGGAAAGAGACCACTGGTAAGACCAAGGCGTAAGTGGGTGGACAATATTGAAATGGATCTTAGAGAGATAGGATGGGATGGGATGGATTGGATTTATCTGGCTGAAGATAGGGACCAGTGGAGGACTCTTGTGAACACGGTAATGAACCTTCGGGTTGTGTAAAATGTTGAGAAATTCTTGAGTAGCTGCACAAACTGGCGGCTTCTCAAGAAGGGTTCAGCTCCATGAGTAAGTAAGTAAATCCTTAAGGTCATAGTCCTTATGTAACATCCTCCCCGGCAAGAGGATGTGTTTTTCTCTTATGAACAGGCTTGACCTCTGCCAAGTGTGTATACCGCAGATGTAGCACTGTCATGTGTAGGGGTGACCATAGACGGGGTTTGGATTGGTGAATGGATTTATCTACAATTCATACACATCACTCGGGACTACAAGTAATTAAGCACTGTCCCCAATCTCCACACATTACAAATCACAACACGCTAAGTTTTCTCCAACCTTCAGTGTCTTCAACAGCCTTTCCCTAGCAACGGTTTCTAACAGTGGAGATTCTTCAGCTTCCCGCGCTCAGGTCCTCTCTTCACAGGCTCCCGTGCAGAACTGGTTGCTCCACTTCTCTGTATCAATATATTTAAATTTCATGACTAATTCAGTTGACTGTGCTAAAAGCAAAATATGAGCCGGGATAGATCAGCCGGTGTTCATTTCCCGGCAGAGGCAAGTGATTTTTTTTCTCTATTCAGGAGTCTCCAGACCAGTTTTGGGGCCCATCCAGCCTCCTATCCAACGGGTATATGGGGCCCTTTATCCGGGGGTTAAGGGACGGAAACTGAAGCTGACAGCTCATTTCGGGCTAGTCAACTTTACTCGTAATTTTTACCTGAAATGACTGTGCTGAAAGTAGGTAAATTATAAATGTATAAAATCAGTTTTGCGTCATAATTTCCCATTTTACAGTTATAAACTACGCATTTTCTTCTAATGAAATATTTCCCTTCTGGAAGCAAAACCGTTTATGTCTATCCTCCGCAGTTTACGTATGAGTTTCTTGTGAGGACGGGACTGGGCAGAAGAATCGGGAGTTCCTCGCGTTGAGTCGGACTGACTACGGCGCGCTGCACACACTCACTCGCCTTAGCTTCGCCACACCGCAGTGCGACAGGGCTATACGGGAATTCTGCGGGAAACAAATGGATCTGGCTTTGTACGATCTTACTAAGCCAGACTCAGTTCGACACGACTGTCTCGCCTCGGTTAGTGTTCCTCCAGCATACCGAGAAGGCTCACTTCACGGCTGTGCTGTCAAAAGAACACGCAGCTGTCTTATACGTAGTAACATTTTGGTCTTGGGCCCCAGTCGGGGCTTCACACCAAGACAGACTGGCCGACTGACAGTCGGTCGTAACGTAACTTTAACTTCTGGTTGAGTCTGTTGAGAGTTACAGTTGTGAGAAGCGAGAAGCTGGTAGCTGAGACCGGGGACAGTTCGGGAACCGAGGGGAAGGGAAACGTCCGCCGTTGGAAGTCGCTACCAAGCAACGGCTAGTGAAGACCGAGAAAACTTTATTTATGCTGTAGTTACTGTAACCTTTGGAGGATGTTATTTGAAGTTCCGGGTGTAAGTGTCCAATAATTCACTCATCAATCCAAACCTCGTCTCTAGTCACACTCAAACGCGCGACTGTACTATGCTATGCTACAATATACCATACTATGCCGAAACACTACGGAATATCAACTGGATTGCAAGAACCACAGTTTGGAAAGCGTTGGTATATATCACCTCTGAAGGTAGGCCATACCTTGAGTGGACAGTCTTACGGAAAAAAGGCCCTTGTGTGCTCAACGAGCTCTCCTGTGTGGCCATTTTCCCCTCTAATCGTAAACTAAAAATATTTAAGGAGTTTCTAGTGATGACGTAATGACGTGATGACGTAATGAAGTGATGACGTGATGACGTACTTGATGAAGACGCGCCCTCAAAGATGCTCTAAAGACGCAACAGACGGGGATTTGAAATGAGATCATCACTTCCTTGTTCATATTAATATCAATCGAGAAGTTCTGAGAAGAACTAATCGCCTACTTTCCTCTGGCACGACGCGGACCGCATAGAAAACGATGCGTTCAACAACGTATATATGGCACTGGTCACTATTTTAGTCCAGTCTTCTCCAGATCTCCATTTTTGCAAATACAGCAATTATTAAGACCAAACCCGATTTCACAGCTTCCTGCTACTGCTGGTTCTCCGCGGTCTTCTGGAACCAGTTCCGTGCGGGCTGCCCGCTTTACTCGTTCTCTTCTTCTTCTTCAAAAGGTTGGTGAACTTCTACGGGACTAAACGGCGTCACAATACTCTTCAATACTCTTATTTACTCTCCGATCCAAATAAACTTAATCCTCATTGGTTTGTTGGAACATACATACATCCCAATGCCGAGTTAATTTCTATTGTTACCTTGCAGGCGCAAACGGTCTCCCCGCCGTGCATTCGACGGATGCAGTGAATCCCAGTTTCTCAACACATAGTTCATTAAACACTCCACAGATGGCAGAGCATATCACACTCCTCACTCTATCCCTGAGGAGTTGCCATGGAAAAGTGAAGATAAAGTCTTCAGCGTACTTAATTAAGCACCATGTCATGGCGATGTAGAGGGAATTGATGTATAGATCCGCGTATCCTGAACCTCGGCATCAGAATGTGGTGAGTGACCTGCTTCACGCCTCGGCCGCTTTATGACCGGGGGGAAGAGCCCTCGGTACCCATTGGATAGGCGTCTGGTTGAGCCCCAGAGGCCACCTGGACTCTGTAGTGAACAGAAAAATCTCTTGCCTCCGTCGGAAATCGAAACCTGAATGTTGGGCTAGCAATCTCGTAGTGTAGCGGCTGTACTGACTGGGCTAGCCTGGATCCGGGGTAGCCATGATGCTGACTGATTTTCCATCCAAAAGAAATTGTTGTTGGTAAAATATCAGATGATTCCACTCCAGAAGCTCCAGAATACAAGCCAGACAAGTTACAGTCTGAGCTACCTAGCTCCATGACTCCATGTAGTCTAACAGAAGGTTTCGAGTAACATACTGCTTCTATCTTCAAGATAAAAGACTAAGCCTACCCCTAATCTTTCCTGTTAGATTTAAGTTTCTACCCTGAACATGGACACAGTTGGGTCCTCCGAAACGTTGCTAACAACCAATAGACCAATAGCCCTTTGTTGGACCTCGGCCATTTTTTTCAGTTTCTTAATCTTTTTACACAGTCGTTTGGACTCCTTGGACGGGGGATCAGCCTGTAGAATAACACAGACACGGAATAAATGCACACACAAATATCCATGTCTCAAGTGGGATTCGAACCGACGATTCCGGTGTTCGAGCAGGCGAAGACAGTTCATGCCTTAAATCGCTCGGTCACTGTGATCGGCAACGGTTAATAAACTATGTAACGTCAAATCCGAGACGACTATGACCTCGTCCCTTCGTACTTCCTTAATAACCCACAGATAGTTCCCACCCTATTTCGCCGTGCCAGATTCCCATGTGTTCAACAAGTGCTCAGGCATATCCATTTCGGCTACCCTTATACTCGTATGTTGAAAACGGTACCGGATGGCTTTCTATCAGGGATAAAAACATCTGCTTCACAATCTGATGATGATGATGCCCCCAAGGCATGGCTTTTTATAAAGCACATATT